CTAATCTTCTGCTGGACTGAATCCTAATTGGGGAGAGTCAGAAACTCTCAAATTTTGCTAAGACTAGTAGGTGGCGCATAGTGATTTTTGAATTTCATTCATATTTTGCCTTAATCTCTCAGTATTTCCCCTTCTGAGTCACTGCCAGTATTGAAACTGAGTCTGAAGTTAGGACCTCAAACCATGGTTTGTGGTGTCTGCACTTTATTCTATCTTGAATTCACAAGCTATTGTCAGCCTGGTTAGGCTATTGGCGACTTCAAAATGCTGCCCGTGAAACTGGAGTAGAAGCTGAGCAGATGGGAGAAGAATGGCAGGCTATTGTCTCCAAAACATACTTTGTCAGGTGCTTTTCTGGAAGGTCAAGCTACAGTATAGCGTGCATTCTTAACTTTGGTTAGCAAAATCCTTGCATTACCTGACAGAAAGATGAGTTCATCTTACACAGAGATAGCTGTTGAGGACCTGCTTGCTGGCAAATATTAACCTTTTGTAACACCAAGCAGGGCTTTTCTCTCTTTTTTCCCCTACCCTTTCTACTTACCTCTTCCGCTCATCCTATCTCCATCCTATTTTTTCCTTTCATTTTGCTGTTTCTGCAGCTCATAACACAACATGTGCGATTAAACAGTTTTAAGCAGTAATTATTACATTGTTTTTTTGTCCTGACCCTTCTAAAATATATTTAGCAAGTATATACATTCACTTATGTAAGTGTAATATATGTATTTTATTTAGTTAGTTATATGATTTATGTAGCCGCTCATCTCATACAAGTGACTCTAGGCAGCTTACAAGAATTAAAAACACAGAAAAACCCATGACATATAACCCCAGGCACCCAAGGATAAACAATAACCCCACTCACAGAAAAAAGAGCACATCAACAACAGTGTGTATACATTTTATTTGAGGTGGGGAGGAAATCATCAGAACTGATTTTACCTAGAATTGGCACCTACATGTGAGAAAATGGAGATTGCACAGAACTTTTGTCAATTTGTTTTTTCTTTCTACTTTTTGTTTTGGGTGAATTGTTTTATATCTGGATCCAGCTTTAGACAACTCTATTCAAAGTACTTTATAGTAGAAAGAGGGTTTTTTAGTATATACAACTACTGAATCACTGTGATACGTTAGCATTGCCTTGTGTTTTACTCCGGTCTTGTCTCTGAGAACTGATCATCTCCTGATAACTTTTTATTGTACTTTTCAGAAAATAAGGCTGTTGGGGTAATGAAACCTGGCCACGCATTTACGATAGAACCAATGATCTGTGAAGGTAATAAGCAGTTATGAATCTAAGGGGTTCTACTTCCAACTAGAAATTCCCTGATGTTAATTTGACCAGGAGCTATATGTATGAACATTTCCTAGTCACTGGCGAGCCGTCACACCTTGTAAGCAAAGTGTATTCCAACTGTTGGGTTTGGTATTTTTGTATCATCACATCTCGTTTTGAAGACACAAAAGATTGTATCCAAGATTGTTTTTATGTTGTGTCTGAACTACCTTACACTGTCTTCTTAGTGAGATCATACTAACTTTCAAGAAATCTGTAGTAAGCAGTTTGCTTTTTAAAAATCTGAACAATTGAATTATTAAACACACACTTGAGTTTCATGTTTGTAAAATAATATTATAAGAGGTCATCATGTTAAAAGAGTCTGAGGTGGCTTTTTTTCCTTTTTAAAAAAAAATATCTGTAGGCCATTTTTGTGCAATCATTAAATTTCAAAGCATCTTCAGATATAATAATTGATTTGTCCCTAATATGCCAACCCAAAGTTGTAATGCAAATCTTCGCTAAGTTAGTTAGATACTACACAATAAATTAGTTTTCACATTTTCTGGGAAGCAGCATCTTTCATAATGGATAGATTTTTTCCCCCAATTTACTCTTATTTTATATTGACATAAACCATTTAAATTCCACATATTGGCATATATTGGATCCCTTTGCATATTTTTTCATAGAGATGATTTGTTAAAAAATATAAAAGCTGAGTAATAAGAATGTAAGGAAGCAGAGACAATAAGGATATGGACTCTATAAGAGGTCTATATTTCCAGTGGTCTGTGTGGTAATACCCGGAGAGAATATGTGAATGAATGTTGTACGGATAGCAAAACTATTCTAATGATCAGTGGACTGGGATCACGTTCTGCCTCATGCTTATTAAAATAAACGTTGGGACTTGGAAAAACACTAGCATTAGCTAGAAGATCAACCTGGGCTAAAAGAGCATTGTCTTCTCTGGGGACTCTCTTTATTAAAAAGTACACTCTGAACAGCACCAATAAATTTTCTTGTATGATTAGGATCATTTTTAGAGGGTGGGGAGCAACTGCCTCCCAAAATAGGGAAGGAGGGAACCATCAAGCATCCCAAATGATTGTAGGGAGAAAAGAACAGAAGTAGGTAGAAGAGGTAGAAGCTTGTCAGCTTTATTATATTTCTTCTAGAGGTGATGATTAATGAAGAGCTGGCCAGAATGTTTATAAATATAAGCCATATGCCTAAATAAAAAGCGGAAGTTCAACCTTTTCCTTGTTCTAACTTTTCTTTTAAAAAAGTAATCAGTTGATGAGGCTGAATCTGTTGGGTTATGTTCATGCTCTGTGTTGAATCTGTTTTTGTTGTGTTCATTAGGTGGGTGGCAAGATGAAACCTGGCCCGATAGCTGGACAGCAGTTACCCGAGATGGCAAACGGTCTGCTCAGTTTGAACACACGCTCCTAGTCACAGATACTGGGTGTGACATCTTAACCCGGCGGTTGGATAGCATTCGTCCTCATTTCATGACCCAGTGCTAGTATAAGCCACACGGAGAGCTTGAAATGAGCATCTGTACTATGCATTTTACTAATGTACAGGATGAAAGGGGGATTTTATCACCTGTTTTCTTGTCATTGCCTATAGGTAAGAGAAATGCAAATCTGCATTGTACAACTTGGAAGAGTCTGATGCAGAGGACCCCAAAACTGTTTGAACTTTTTAAAAGAATTTCCAAATAGCACCCCTTTATTCTCCTTTCCACCCACCAAAACAAAACAACAGCAGCAACAAAAACAAAGCTGGGCTTCAGATGATTTTGACACTGCCACAGTTGTCAGCTGGTGTACCTAAGACAACTTTTTCACGGTGAATGTGAGATCTTACCTAAGGTTTTGAACTTTTCTTGTTCCAAAGGCAACCCCTGCTTAGCTTGTGCTGCAAAGGCAGTTTTAAACAGGCTAGGCTTTCATCTGTTTACAACTCAGAGGTGGCATTATATACTATGAAAATGAAACTAGTACTGTGTACTAGTCCCTTCAGAACCTTGTCTGCCTTTCCTTGTACCATTTTGGTTGCCTCTCGTAATTGTACATAGAAGTACAATAACCACTAGTTAAGTGAAGAAAGAGTTTGCCTTTACCCAGTGGGTCTCTGTGAAAAGCCGTGAAGTGGGGCAGGAAGGCCAAAATTACTGAGATCCTTCCTGGTTTGAGCTTTTACCAAATTGTAGCTTTAAGATGGGTAGCCCTTGCCAGCCAACAAGGTTCTAAAGTTTCACTGGTAGAAAGCTGTTATTTTTAAATTGAAACAGGGGAAAAAATGGAAATACAGAGTTCCTGTTCGCCATGCATATTATATATGGTGACTTTATATGACTTCATTGCCATGATCAAATGTTTGTTCACTGTAGGGACCACTTGATATCAGTATAATTTCATCATGGTGCCCTAAATGATATTTTGGCATTGTGGCATGCAGCTGTCAGGAACTGGATCAGTAATGGCTACTTTTAGTCCATAGCAACCCAAATCAGCTTCACTGCAGATTAGAGAAGAAAACCTTTGCCAATAGTGATGAGAACTGGTCCACAAACAGGAAAGTAAGATATAATGCCGTGTGTTTCCCATGGCAAATTTTATCACGTAATTTTTTTTCTGAAATGTTCTTAGGCGTTTGACAAAACAAGGTGTATGTACTGTTCCAACCAGCCAATGTGATGCTTCATCAAAAGGAAGATGTTGTAGTAAAGATAATGCCTTTGAAAGGTGCAAGAATTGGAGAGCCCTGGAAATCATTAATCTTTCCCCAAAGGTCCTTAGACCAGCAGCAAAGGTGATAGTGTGATAATGTCCTCCCCACCCCATACTTTATATGAGTTTGTTATACAGATTTACTGCTGTTGATGTCAGGGAAAGCGTAATTTTGTTGGCCAGTGGCTGTTCCCATCTAGCCTTGTATTCTGTAATGAGAATGATTTTTCAACCACATTTTTGATTCTGGTGCCTACTTCATCCATACAATGTTGAAGTGCAGAAATGGAAATGAAGACAAATAAAAGTCATAAAATCATGGGCATAATATGTTCATTTCTGTTCTGTGTGTTATACATTGTTTGTTGTAAAATAATTTAAGGGGTTTAAATGATCTTGGCTTATTGTTCTTTGGAGGTTTAGAACCTAAACCTACAAATAACCTATTTATAGAGAGGAAATTAGAAGTCTGGATGGTTGGCCTAGAGTTCTCTTTTTTTTGTGAAGAAGTGCAGTTGTGACAGGGCAGCTCAGTGAAAGTACTATTGTTGTCCCGCAGAGTCATGCTTTGCTCATTCTTCATGTGCCTAAAAAAGGCATGGGTGGGGAAGAATAGGCTTTAAAGAAGCTGACTCCAGAAGAGTTAGTGTAGCAAGGTGTGTATTAGTAGTTTGTATGAAACAAACTATGTAGAAATGGCGTATTGGTAGATGAAGATTTGGCAAGGAGGAGAGCAGACAGAAGACTACTGAAATGTCAGGACTCCTGAAATTTCATGGCTTTTAAAAGAAAGCTGAAGATCAGCATACATAAGTTTAGCACTGCAAAGTTCCAAGAGGACAGATTCTCCAGAAACAGGACCAGTGGCTGAACTTCAGAGTAAGAATGATGTGGCAGAATATTGTGCCTGCATCAAAAGGAAGGAAACCAGCAACAAAGGGACTAGACCAGGGAAGTCAACTGATGTGTTTGACCAGTGGGTAGAACAGGAAAGCCACCAAG